GATCTTCATACAAATTCCATCCAAAGCGCCAATGCAGCCTGTTAAAGGACTGATTGTCCTCCTTGAAGACTTGAACTCATCGGCAAGGAGCTGAATGGCAGCAGTAAAGTTTAGTTCGGTTGTGTTGCTGTAACAAGCGGCGTCGAGAAATCATTGCTACTTCGTGAATCGGGATCGGAACCAACGCCGTTGCCAGGGGATCGCAGCAGCTTCTCTGATGTGAAACGTAGACGTCCTGCAAGGGCATTTTCCGCTCTGTACATTACTACCGTTTACAGCGCTTTTCTTGAAAAATTCAATTTAAAGGCCTGGGAGATACGCACTGCTGGAAGTCAAGAAAAGAAAAATTTGTGATGAACTGCAAGTTAGGAACGGCCCTCAGTCGGCAACACCTGTGTGTGAGCACAACGGACACACGTGGGCGATTTGGGATACGTTGACATACAGAACACGTGTGGAAGCTAGCTGCTGATAATCAGGGAGAAGCAGACAGCATTCTGGATAGCAGACAGAATTCTGGAGAGCTGACAGAAATAATGGGAGTGAACGCAATTCTCCTGATTGCATTCGCGACAGAACCGAAACGACTCATTCCCTTTGTGATAGTTATATGTACCCTACCGCTTCGTAGAGCGAGGACAAGAAAAGGGGAGACAGACAATAAAAACCACCAACTGTGAGTATTCACGTTTCATTGGCAAGAATTTGCTACCGTGTTCGTACGCGAGACCCCTCCGCGCTTCCGCGCGAGATTTCTATCCTCTTGGATACTGTTACACATATTGGAAGACTACCTTTTTGTCTTCCCCCTTGAGATTTCACAACATATCTATGAAGGACATTAGTCAATATTTACCACGTTTCGATCAGATTCATTCTGCTGTACCGCTCGGGGTCGATTTGGTAATTTGCTCTTGCGCAGAAAGGGTAATAAGGTCAGTCACCGCGTCGCTGTCGTTTGCAGGAATAACCTTGCTCACGTTCGGGAGACTGCATTTCCGCTTAGAAGCGTCTTTCTCCGCTTCGCACGGATGCTTGTTTGCTCCCCCCTCGCCCCATGTTACTTCTTTGGCCTTGACTCTCTCCAACTTTTTGGCAGCACGCACCTGCTGCCCCCTCAAACGCTGCTCCCGTTGTAGTTACTTTTTGTGAAACCTTGCCTGCTTCCTTGCCGCCTTCTCCTTTTCCTGTAAAGCATCTAGGATCTCCCTCCTTTTTCGCTCCTTTACGAAATCTCCGTACGTGAGGTATATTGCAGGCGTTCCTTTCTGGAGTGCAGTGTTCTTCTGAACGCTATCCACTTCCTCACTAACCCTCTTTTTCGGCATACCAGCAGTCATAAGTATCTTTTTCACGCTTTGGTGGGGTTTAAAATCATTTCGACAGACTGTATTGCTAGAGAGGATGCTTTTCCGGAGTCCAATATGTTTCGTAATTGGGACAAATTATCGCTGTCGTTCTGGCGTGTAATAAGATGATGATTTTCTGTTTGCTCCAAGCGAGTCTACATTCTTTCAAAACTTTGATTCCTGATTCGCTTTGTCTCAAACTGATCCAGAAAGCTTTGGTCATCGGCCATATCCCAGCTCTAGAGAAACTTTCGGTGATATCGGAAGACGTAATCGCGTAATACACTGCCATTCCAACCATGAAATTATTTATTACAGTTCTTGTATCGATTAAGTTCAAGGTGCACAGGTTGTCTCTTGCCTTTCGCATGGATCTTTTTAATGACTTGTTCATTAGCTGATAGCAAGGCTGCAAAAAATGGCTTGTGTTAGCCGGCCCCTGTACTACAGCGTAAGAAACAGAATTGCAGTATTGAAGCCAATCCCAACCTTCTCTGGACGAATGGCCATCCAGCGTCAAACAATAGGCTTTCTCCTTAGAAACCCACTTGCGAACGTAGCGATTTATGTGCTCCATCGCGAACCGCATCAGTCGCTTTTCCATACTTCCATTCTCAGAAGTCATTATGACTGCATTTTCCGGGAACCACGGTGCCTGTGTGAGCCAGTGGTACTGCGAAGAAGCAGAACCGACCTCTTTTTTCGATAGGGCTTGAACCATGAGGACATTACGTTCTTGCCAGCAACGATAAAGAACGGGGGTGTCTTTCGTCCGGATGCAGAAGCATCCACTATTGCTGTTATGTGTTTCCCACATCCGCCAGCAGTCTTAGATCGAAACCCGCCATGATGTGTGTCGGAAGCTCCGAAGACCTTTTCTTTCTCACCAAATTCAGCAGATACGGCTGTTTCGTCCATGTTCCACAATTGGTCTGGGTCGAAAAATATGTGAGGGTGTTCGTGTTCGACAGCTCAGAGCGCTGCCGCAAAAGTGTTGACGTGCGTACAGTTCTCTGCGTTCAATTTTGCGTATTCTTTATTCTCTGCATTTCGATATGTGATGTCCCGATTACCGGCTCTCCCACTCTGGATAGCGTCCAACGATGGTATTTGACTGACATTCTTAAACTCCATGCTGCCATCTGATGCGATAGATGTCATTATTTGTCGGAGCACTGCAGTGTTTAATGCAAAGCCCCTTTCCGCTGCGTAGCGAATATGCTGTTCGATTAACGCGTCTTCCTCCTTCGTTATCACACAGCGGCCTCCAGCTCTGTTGTCTGCAGGGTTCAGCAGACGATGAAAGTAGCAATCATTGCGTGTCTTAAGGCATTTGCTAATGCCGTCAGCAGTTCCACGGTTAATGTTCGTTTTTCGAACTACTTCAGCCACTCCAATCCCCTCGTTTAGTAATGCTGCTTCTGCTTTGCGCTTTTCCTTCTCGACGGCGTCTCGCTTGTCCCGCTTTTTAACCAATGCTGCCTGACGACGCATCCTCGTGGCCATTGGTGAGCAGTTCGTTTTGGTTTGTCTCAGGATTCGGCCAGCCGGGAAGCTCGATTGTGCTTTGATACCCGAACAACTGACCAGGCACAGCAAAGTTCGTCTACAGTTTCTTTTTGGCCGCAAAACGTCATCCAGGGAGACACGTGGACACCGGAACTCCTGATCCGAACGAAGAAAGCGACATAGAGCAATTGCCTGAACTGAATAAAATACCATTACGGACTGTTCGTGACTGAACATACAAAATTACCAAATCGACCTGTTTTACCAAATCAACCTTTCCGGGAGTGGTAGTGGTTGATTAGGTGCCCCTGTTGATGGGAGAGTGAAATGTGCAGAGTTTTGCTGGACATTGCAACAAAACCCGAGCTTAGGTCACCTCCCTCTTACTGCTACTGTACCCAAGGGTACTGTACCAAGGGTACTAGAAGCATCCTTGTACCGTAGAGTCGCACTGAAGGATCTGGAAGGCTTACTGACGTGGGGAATGTTTGAGATGTACCCTTCTCATTGGCGTAGTATGTGACACGGCTCAAATTGGGACACCAAATTCTCAAAAGCTGTGCGGAATTAGTAATCGCTTGTGAATGTAGCAACTCCTGTCGGCCCATCGATCTCTTCCTACATTAGAACATTTCTTTGCCGACCTCTTCCAGCGAACCCTCGTCCTTTTCCTTTCCAATGCCTTCGTCTATGCGTGCGCAAACGCAAGCGCATCGAAGGCGCCAGGAATACAGAAAATCGGAAAGGACACGCAGAGAAAAAGCGCTGTAACTCGTGCAGCAGGGCCAATCTGTCCGTGAAGTTGCCTCTGTTTGTGGAATATCTCGAGGAGCTGCTTTCCGAATTAGTAAGAGCCATAAGACGTCAGATTCGGCAACGCTTGCGCGCGTTCTAGATCCTGTACGCTTCCCACAAGGACGGCGTAATGTATTCCATTCAGTAGAGGAGTCTCTCATTGCGGACAGACTATTAGTTGCGGCTCGGGGGGGCTTTGCAGTGGACAATGCTCAACTAACCGCAGTTATGTCCAGTGCCGCTGCCGATGGTCGAAAGGGCTTCAAAAGCGGGTTGCCCTCTTCTGACGCAATCAGGTCTTTTCGCGCTCGCAACCGGCAGTTGGCCTACAGAGTGGCTGAAAACGTGACATCGGCTCGTCTATCAGCTCAAAACAAGGCTCACTTTCTCACACTGAAGACAGTATTGAGGGACATTGTTCGCAAAATATCCTGGTTTACTTGCCGATCTACGCAAAATATGGAATTTTGACGATCGTCAAAATTCCATATTTTGCGTAGATCGTAGAGCTGTCTCGAGACAGCCGTGCTGTGCGAGTATGGCAAAAAACCCGATGCTATGCCTCTGCCTCTCACAACCATGGCGGTGCACGCCGGTCAGTGAGAGATTTTGGAAAGCATGTGACGGCCGGAATCACGATTGCTGCGGGTGGAAATATTGCTCCACTTTTTCTCGCCTCAAGCAGAAAGAGAAAGATGGCCTCTTGGCTTGACCCTCAGCCGAGATGACTTCTAACACAACAATAGCACTCTGCACTGGCTCTGTGAGGAAAACTGGTGCCCTCCTGACACTGCGCTTCGCGTCAAAAAGGCAGGTTCGATGGACGGCGAAATTATGAGTAGTGTGGCATGCCATATAGATGCTCACGCGGGAAAGACAGTACCACAAAATGAGCACATATTGCTCCTAGTCGATGGACACAGCTCTCGGGACGGCGTAGCATGGACCGAAACTTGCGAAGGGCTGAATATCGTGGCTGTGAAACTGCCCGCAAATACTACACATATGCTACAGCCTTGTGATCAGAAGACGAACAAGACTTTACAGCAGGAAGTACGCATGACTCGAGATGTGTTGTTGAGCATGAGCCATTTCTCATGGGCAAACATAGCGGTAAAAATCAAGCTTGCAGTAGCTGCTCATAGAGCTCTAACCCCTGATGTTGCCCGATCTTCATTTGTTAAGGCTGGACTTTGGCCTATGGATTTTCGGTTTATGGCATTTCTGGATAGGGACAGACCACGCCAAAGATCGCTGGCACTGCGTAGAATGAGCGAGAACAGTGCCGGCAGGGCACAAGACGTAGACACAAGCACAATTGAGAGACGAACAGCATCCGTCCGTCTGATGAAAAACATTCACTCACTTACCAATGGTCAGTACTCCGCTTCCCGAGCCTTGGCTGAGGTTTCACAAGCTTTACATGGCGATTATCCACTGCACAACATTCTAACTAAGAATATTGGTCTGCAAAAAAATGTCACTCCTCGAAAAACTAGTAGAAAGTTCCTCGCCATCTGGAACAAAGCATGTCTGCTGACGGTTGGGAGATTGCGGGCCTCTCAGTCCCCTTTACAGCGGTCTCACGGTCAAAAAGAGCCCTCATCTGGCGGCCATCACAGTACAGAAGGGGTTGTACAGCTCGGGAGTTCGAACAAAGAAAATGCTGATCCACACGCAGCATGTGAATTCCCGGGTATGCGTTTTGTGAGTGACAACATCAGCGAGGACGATGTGCCAATCGCGCAGTGGCCACGAGGCGAGAAGTACGGCGTTCTACTCCAGAAAAGTGCTGTCTCGAAAACGGGCAAGGAGGAAGCTGCGTCTGCTTTGTTGGAGCTCCGCCATTATCGATGAAGTGTGCAACAAACGTGATTTTCCCTCGTCCCAGTTTGACCCTGGCACAGTTTGGAGGGCAAGTTTGCTGTCGAAATAAACGCAATTTTCCTAGAATACGAGCTGGATTAGCATGTTTATCATAACTTCTTATGTGTCCCACTCAAAGCCAATGAGAAGGGTACTGTAAGCGCCAAGTGGCCTAGTCAGCGCTGCATTAATGGCACTACGGTATCGCATCAACAAAGAGGGGTTTAACAAATGCGGGGAATAAACGTAATTTGGATACGCAGGAACTAATCGCTGTTGTAAAGAGCTCAAATATCTAATTACAACGCAAGTTGCGGACGTGTAAACTTTAGGTGGTGTCAGCTGATCTGTGCTCTCAAGAGCAAACGACATAAACCTGAGTGGGAAGTCATCCAATGATGTAAGCGAATATCTGCAGGGGCGGTTCTAAGTGGAGATCTTTCAATCATCTTATAAACTTGATTGATTGCGCGGCGAATAGACTGATGTTCATCGCCAACCGTGACGTCCTGTGCGCCCGCTACCATACCGCTCAACACCGCCGGCTGAACGCACCGCCTAGTTTCGCAATGCGGTGAAATCCACGTCCCACTCTGGATCGCCTCGTGAAGCGGCGCTCCCCGATTGGCCCTCCAAGCCCGGAGAGAATCTATTGGGCATCCGGATACCAAGTGTTCGAATGAACACGCACGCCGAGTACCTGTTCCGCCCTCGAAGGTTCCTGTCACCACGATGCGTCCTTTCGTCTTACCCAGCTGATCCACCCCACCGCGTAACCACTGCGTAACCAATCTTGCGTCAACTGGCATACATCCCAATCCCATTCCCTCAGCCCGACACGCAACCACTCCCGTCGACAGTACTCCCTCCCCCCCCGCGACCATCCCCAACTTCTCCTTCCCATCTCCTACAGTTGACACACTCACTCAGTACCTTCCCCCCCCCCCCGGTCTCATCCCAGTCTGCCGTTTTCAAGAACCGACCTCCTCCCCACCCCGTCTCCGGACCCGCGCCCCACAATGGTCACTGCCGACGAGATTCTCGGCTCTCCATGGAATGCCGCCCCACTGGACGTGCTTCGCGCCACAGACGTCTCCGAATCACAGGGTCTCTCTGAGGACGAAGTCCATGCCCGTCGTGAGAAGCACGGCTGGAACTCGATCCCGCCGCAACCAGGAAAGCCCCTGTGGAAGCTCGTGCTCGAGCAGTTTGAGGACCGACTCGTCATCATTTTGCTCCTCGCAGCCGTTGTGTCCTTTGTCCTCGCTTGCTTTGAGGACGGCGAAAACCAGCTCCAGGCCTTTTTCGAGCCCCTCGTCATCCTCTTGATCCTCATTGCGAACGCGATTGTCGGTGTCATGCAGGAGAGAAATGCGGAGAGCGCCATTGAAGCTCTCAAGGAGTATGAACCGGAAACTGCCAGCGTCCTAAGGGAAGGCGTCCAGAAAGTCGTCAAAGCCGCCGAGCTCGTACCGGGTGATATTGTCGAAGTTGCTGTCGGTGCCAAGGTTCCGGCTGATATGAGGATTGTTAGCTTGCAGAGTTCGGTTCTCATGGCTGACCAGAGTATTGTCACTGGCGAGAGCCTCAGCGTGTCGAAGACGACCACCAAAATCCCGGTCGAAGCGGGCGTCGCTGTCGTTCAGGATAAGAAATGTATGTTGTTTAGTGGAAGTACCGTCAGTAGAGGTAAGTGTGTGTGTGTTGTCATCAGCACTGGCACCGATACTGAGATTGGAAAAATCCATGCCGATATCGCAGAGGAAGAGGAGTCTCCCACCCCACTCAAGATTAAGCTGGATGAGTTTAGCGAGTTTCTGTCGAAGGTAATCTTGATTATTTGCATTCTCGTATGGCTGGTCAACATAGGCAATTTCAGGTCGCACGGTGGTTTATTCAACGGCGCTATCTACTACTTCAAGATTGCAGTTGCCTTGGCTGTCGCTGCGATTCCAGAGGGGTTACCCGCTGTTGTCACTACATGCCTCGCCCTGGGTACTAAATCAATGGCAAAGAAGAACGCTATTGTTCGGCACTTGCCCTCAGTGGAAACCCTTGGTTGCACGACGGTTATTTGTTCCGACAAGACGGGAACCTTGACGACTAACATGATGAGTGTGCAACGCGTTATGGTTGTCAACAAGATGGACGCCGAAGGTTATGCAACCATACAAGAGGTGGAGGTGTCCGGCGGCACCCTTGAGCCAGAGGGTGAATTCCGAAATGCAGGGTCTCCCGACACGTTTTCGAACCCGGCCAACTCGAACAAGCTCATTGCGGAGATGGCTGAAATCTCCACCGTTTGTAACGATTCATCTTTGACTTACGATGAGCAGAACAAGCATTTTGACCGTATTGGCGAAGGAACTGAAGTTGCCCTGACGGTGTTTGCGGAGAAGACTGGTGTACCGGATGCCGATGTGTGCGAAGCTCGCGTTACCGCTGCTCCTGCCGAAAAGGCAACAATGTGTCGCAAGTTTTGGCTTAGCAAGCTGAACAAGCTTACCACGTTCGAGTTTGCGCGGGATAGGAAGAGTATGTCTGTACTTGTGGCGCCGAAAGATGACCCATCATCGACGCGGTTGTTGGTTAAGGGTGCACCGGAGTCTGTGCTGGAGAGGTGCAAATACGTCCGCCTTGACGATGGACAAACTGCGGAAATTACATCTCCTATTCGCGAGCAGTTGGAGTCTGTTGTGTTGAAGTGGAGCTCCGGCTCCAGTGCACTTCGTTGCCTGGCAGTGGCGGTGCGCGACGGTGCCCCGGGACTCGGAGATTACGATCTTACGGACACGACGCGTTTTGCTGAGTATGAGAGTGACCTGACGTTTGTTGGCATCCTCGGTATGCTGGATCCGCCTCGTGCGGAGGTGAAAGATGCGATATCGAGGTGTCGAGATGCTGGTATTCGAGTAATTGTCATCACTGGGGACAACAAGGCGACTGCCGAGGCCATTTGCCGTCGAATTGGTGTGTTTGACGAAGAGGAAGATTTGGAAGGCAAGTCATTCACTGGCACAGAATTTGATGCCCTTTCAAATACAGAACAAGAAGTGGCAGTGAAGAATGCATCACTGTTTGCTCGTGTCGAACCGCAGCACAAACAACGGCTCGTGGACTTCTTGCGAGCTGGACGTGAGGTTGTTGCCATGTCAGGAGACGGTGTGAACGACGCACCTGCGCTCAAGAAGGCGGATATTGGAATCGCGATGGGATCTGGAACTGCAGTGGCCAAGGAGGTTTCGTCCATGGTTCTCGCCGATGACAACTTCGCCACCATTGTTGCAGCAGTTGAGGAAGGGCGATCGATTTACGCAAACATGAAGCAGTTTATTCGTTATTTGATTAGCTCGAACATTGGTGAGGTGTGGTGTATTTTCTTGACTGCCCTGCTCGGGATGCCTGAAGCCTTGATTCCCGTGCAGCTGCTCTGGGTGAATTTGGTCACAGATGGACTCCCTGCAACCGCGTTGAGCTTTAACAAAGCCGATGCGGACATTATGACTCAGAAACCCCGAGGTTTGGAAGACAGTATTATCGATACGTGGATGTTCTTCCGCTACATGGCCATCGGAACTTACGTTGGAGTTGGGACCGTAGGCGGGTTTGCATGGTGGTATCTGTTTTACGAGTCAGGGCCGCAGATGTCTTGGCATGATCTTGTTCACTTCAACACTTGTACCGAAGTGGCTGGTCGTGGCTGGTCTTGTGATGTCTTCCAAGCACGAAACGCAAGCACAATAGCATTGACCATTCTGGTTCTTATTGAGATGCTGAATGCTTTCAACAGTATTTCTGAAAACCAGAGTTTGCTGACGATGCCTCCAACGACAAATCCGCTTCTCATCATCGCATGCATGATGAGCTTGGCGTTGCATTTTGTGATTTTGTATGTACCATTCTTTGCCAAGATTTTCTCTGTAGTGCCTCTGAGCTCAGCAGAATGGACTGCGGTTATTGCCATGAGCGTTCCTGTAATATTTTTGGATGAGGTACTTAAGCTAGTCTCGAGAAGAGTTGCAAGTAATGAGAAGAAGAGACAGTGAGGTGGTTCTTGTATATGTGGTGAAGGGTGCTCTACTTCAATGTCTAGAATTTGTGTCTCTAGAGGAGCGATTTTTTGTAAAGCAACTGACTTTCTTTTTGACAATAGATGTCCGATAAGTCGTTGACATGTCTTGACATTCCGAATATGTTTTAAAGTAGCGGTCTCTTCGGAACTCATGGTTCAACAGCAAAAACCGTTCCACCACACTGCGGGGCAAGTAAATGCAGACGGCGAGCCGGACCGTGACAAACTTAATCGGGTCTTCTTCAATAGAAAACAGACTAGTTTCGAAACATGTGAAGTAGCTTAACTGACCCCTACGTCAGGGATAAAGTCTCGAAAGAGGGTGTTAAAATGCCTCGAAATGGTTTTGCTACATGGTTTTGCTACATGGTTTTGCTGTCTGGCATTACAAGGCCCTCTCCTGTTGTACATCCGGGAGTTTTACGTCATTGCTGGAAGACTCTCAGGGGACCATGTACAGTATGCATGATTTTTTTTGGGGGGTGTGACAATGTTGGAGTTTGTTTGTTCTTGATTTCAACGCCCCTTTCTTTCTTTAATTGATGATCATTGTTGGAATTGTGCATCTGGCACAATGGAACACATAAACAATGACGACGGGTTTTTGGGGTTTCCATGAAAGCATTAAGAAAGAAAGAAAACCGATGACTACAGTAGGACTGCTAATTGAGTGTGCGGGTCTGTCGGACAACAGTTATTGTATTTTTTCTGGGCAAGGCAACGTGCCATTTCACTTGTGTTTTTTGCAACTACAGTAGTGTTGTGAAGATGAGTTGGAATACGTGTACGACGTGGCCACGAGTGACACGTTGAGTATGAGGTCTCGGTTTCCTCTTTTTGTTTGAAATTTCGAACCAGTGAGGGCCGGTGGTGGCGACGGACGACGCGCAAAAAAGATAGTTTTTCTTTTAGTTTTTGCCTCCTCGGCGCTGTAAAGAACTACTCGGTAGAATGCTTCTAGACTCCACGCCGTCCGCTGACGAAATTAGCACCTTGCCGTCAATCTACCAAAGAAAGAGGTGCCACACCGACTTAGATCCGCCTGCTCATCCACAGCCCCCTTTCTGACTCCTGCGTCCACCTTTTTCCTCTCCTGTCTAATCCCCTCCCCTACCCACACCCACTCGCAAACTTCGCTTTCAATCCCGTCGCAACTCTCGTCCGTCCGACGCCCTACGCTCTTCGCCCCTCCTCGCCTCGCCCCCCCCCCCCCCCCCCCCCCGTCGGCCCTACCCCTCCACACGCAATGTCTGCCCCCGCAGAGAACATCCCCACCTTCAAGGTCGTCCTCGTTGGCGATGGCGGTGTCGGAAAGACAACATTCGTCAAGCGCCACATCTCTGGCGAGTTTGAGAAGCGCTATCTCGCCACCATGGGCGTTGAGGTCCATCCGCTGAAGTTCTTCACAAACTTTGGCCCGATCCTCATGAACGTTTGGGATACCGCTGGCCAGGAGAAGCTTGGTGGTCTCAGAGACGGTTACTAGTACGTTTTCGCTTTTTTCCACTTTGTTACACTCTCTTCCACCCTTCCTCCCTTTCCAATTCGATTCCTTTGCTCTACGTCTATGAGGATCCACTACGCCTTTTGGCTGTGCGCTACACAGACTTTGGTCTTCTGCGCGAACACTTTCTTCCTACTCATTCTGAAGACGCTAGTATCTGTCGATCTACAAATCCACGCCATCGTCCGAGCTCGTCTTCTAACCTTTTTTTTTGTTCTCGAATTGCTCCTCGTTGAATCGCGTCGTCCATCACAGTATCCAAGGTAATGCCGCCATCATTATGTTTGATGTCACCAGCCGCATGACGTACAAGAACGTCCCGCAATGGCATCGCGATCTCGTCCGTGTTTGCGAGAACATCCCTATCGTTCTCTGCGGAAACAAAGTCGACATCAAGGACCGCAAGGTCAAGGCCAAGTCAATCACCTTCCACCGGAAAAAGTCGCTCCAGTACTATGAACTCAGCGCCAAGAGTAACTACAACTTCGAGAAGCCGTTCTTGTGGATCGCCCGCAAGCTCATCGGCAACCCCACCCTCAACTTTGTCGAGTCCCCCGCCCTCGCACCACCAGAGGTCAAGCTCGACGAGGCCCATGTCCTCCAGATGGAGAACGAAATCAACATGGTTGCTAACATTCCTCTCCCGGATGAGGACGATGTCGAGGGTTAGAGAGTCCATCGGATTGCGGAAGATCGGTTTCCGCTTGGCTGTCTCACTGCGCCCCTCTTGCGTCGCTTCCGTAGGGGGTACAAGTTCTGCACGGGTCCAAACATTAACAAAGTAACTTTCGCGATCCACAAACTTGCGCTCGAGGCCTTGTTTGCAATGTCTCATCCCATTCTTGTTCGCCCGATTTTCGCGCAGGAAACGCATGTTGTAAATTGACTGTTGCAGTGTGACTACTTCGTTTCATATCCGTCGGGGGTGTGAGCAGTGCGTCGTGGGTACAGTTGGATATAGGTCTTTGTTGCTGTCGCCGTCTTCGAGAGTGAGCGGTTGGGAACCCATGTGCTTCGATGGCGATGCAGTTGAACATGCCACCTATCGTGTCTGCCAGTTTCTCCAAGGGAATATCAGTTGTTTTGCGAATTGCATCAGTTCTAAGATATATACTGTAGCTCTTTTGTTCGTGCAAGGGGATATCCGTTGGGGTGACCCCGTCGGCACACGTTTCAACTTTACGAATTTTAATACATAGAGAAGCAGCTTCAGTGATCCAGAGGTTGAATCATCTTACCACTTGCTAATGTTGTGGATTTGTATGTACACACATCCCTAGTGTAGTAAATTTAGCGACGCAGCAATGTTCAAAACTTTTTTTTCTTATTGCCATAGACTGCACTTCTTTGTCGGATTGTATCGGCTTGCGTTCCGACACGCAAATGCCTTGGCGAAAGCAGGGCTTTGGCTTAGCGGCCCTTGCACTCTGAACTGTCCCGGTGAATGGGGATTTGTCATCATTTGGACCTTCAAGGCCTCCCGTCGGTACAAGGTACACCATATCTGAGCGTATGCTACAAAAAACAACTGATCGTTTGTGAGTTCCCGCGCGAGCGTAGGATTCGGAGGTGGAATCCCATCCTGACTGTTGTTGCCCGTGCTCTTGAACGCGCGATAGGCAACATTCACCCCGTTCTTGTCGGCCAGGTTCTCTCCCAGAGTCAAATTTCCTTTTACGAAAATGCTTACATCACGTGGCTTGTATGTGTTGAATAGATCAATATAGCACTTGGCCTTGTCTTCATAGTGAGCAACAGACGCATCCGACCACCACGATGTGAGAAGGCCGTTCTTGTCATACTTGCGACCTTCATCGTCAAAACCGTGCGACATTTCGTGCCCGACAATGGCGCCTATCCCGCCGTAATTCATAGCATCGGGATACGCATCAGAAAAGAATGGCTGCTGCAGAATGCCAGCTGGAAACACCATTTCATTCCTCGTCGGAGAGTAGTAGGCATTTACTTCTTGAGGCTTCATAAACCACTCGGTGCGGTCAATCGGCTGGCCCAACCTCTTCAGAGCTTTTCTCAGTAGGTAAGCCTTGGCGGCAGCCACGTTACCCTGAAACGATGCGCGTGAAATGGAAAGATCATCGTAGGTGTCCAGTTTCGAGCTGTAACCAACCTTCCAGTTAATCGCCGACAACTTTTCAATGGCCGCCTGTCTAGTAGCTTCATCCATCCACTCTTGCGATGCCAATGTCCCAGCGAACGACTTTGAAATCTCCGAGGCTAGCTTTTCGGCCATCTGCTTGCGAGTTTCAGGAAAATGCTTTTTGACAAACGCGGCTCCTACCGCTTCTCCGAGGTACGCGTTGCTCAAAGACTGGCACTTTTTCCATTGTTCGGGGAGCTGCTTCATACCATAAATATGCTGCTTGAATCGAAACCCCTCATGGTACATGCTCTCCCCAAGGAGCCCGCTGTCTGCGGCGGATCGCACCAGATGAAAGGCGAGGTAGCCGCGCAGAACGCGTCGCTTGTCAACATCGACGGATAAGCCCGCCATGATCGCGACGATCTTGTCAAAGAAGAGCGGGTTGTCCAGAACGAGACTGCCATTGATCGAGTTGGGATCAACACCGAGGATCTTGAGATACTCCGGTATGGCGAGGGCATCCGACATGGCGTCAATCTTTATCTTGTTGTACGACTTGTCCGGGTCGCGCAGCTCCTCTGGCGGGACAGTCGCGTTGGCCAACGTCGTCTCGAGGTCCAAGACCTGGCGCGCGAGCATATCGTGGCCTTGGCGTGGGAGCAGTCTCGCCTTACCTGCGGTCGCAAGTAGGTTCTGAATGAGCTTGAGATACTTTTCCCTCGTCTCCACATCGGCGTCCTGCATGCTAAAGTAGTTGTCGCGATGCGGCAAGCCGAGCCCGCCCTGGCCAAAGTACAGGGCATACTGCGAGGGGATCTTCTCATCGACGTTGACGCCGACATCAAACAACGCCACCGAGGACACGGCATGCAATTGCGCCAGCAAGCGGGTAAAAGCCGGGGCGTCGTCCAGGTCGTTGAAATGGTCTCGAAACGGAGACAAGTAGAGGGTATTCAGGCCGCCAATGCCCATCTGGTCAATACAGCTGGCATAAAACAGGCCGGGTTTCGACGGAAGCCCCCCGCCGTCGCTCTGCAGCTCTCCCTCGAGGAGCTCCTTCACCATGAGCTGCAGCATGTCGCCGACGACCGAAAAGCTCTTGGTATACCTGGTGCGGTCGGGCGGGATTCGATTCGACCTGAGCCACGACCCGCACGCGTACTCGTAAAAGTTGTCGCACGGGTCCGCGCTGCGGTCCATAGCGGCGAGGACACCGTCGGCCACGGAGCGCATGTCGCGGCTGGGCTCGAAGCGGTCCGACGGCGACGACACGTCGATGACGGCGGCGATGGCGAAGCACGCGACGCTGATGACGGCGAGCACGGCGAACAGGCGGCCAAAGTAGGTGATGCGCAGCGGCTGCTCCATGCGGTAGTAGCCGGGCGGCGGCGGGGGGTAGAGCGGGTCGGTCTCGCTGTCGCCCAGGCGCACGTCGTGCGGGTCGGCGGCGGGCGCGCGGTAGTCGTGGTCGTGCGTGCTGAGCTGGGCGTAGCCGGGGGTCGGCTGCTGGAAGCCTTCCAGGTCACGCGGGGGGGGCGCGGCGGGGAGGGCGATGTGCGGCTCGGCGCGCGGGTGGCGCTCGTGCGCGGCGGCC